ATAAAATTCAATACATATATAAAGAAGAATAAAAAATAAGGTATTAGTTGGCAGCCTCAGTATACCAGCCATGGCATAGAACCCATATGGGTGTTCTTCATAACCAAACATTTCCCTTAGTTCCTCTCCGTAGAATTTGTACACCAACACCCCCAAGAATGCCACAATCTGTTCAAAGCACATAGCGAAGACCCCTCTAGAAAAATCAATCATAACAATGAAATGAATTTATATCATAATGATAATGAAGGATATTTAGCCAAACTTGAACTAAACACCTTGGCAGAAAAGTGGATGGCCAAACTAAACATATAATTACAATAGTTTACCAGTTGAACAATAATGAAAATGAACGCATGGTCCCTAGCAACAAGAAATTGAAACTTCAGTCTCAACCACCAGCGATCAGGAGGGACATTTGCACGTAACACGAACATAGCTCTGCACTCTGTACAATGAGCAAAAGCAAAGCCCTCCTGATACAATTACTCAAATGGATTAGAATTAAAAAAAAAAAAAAAACTTGAAAACTTGATCATTCTAGAATTTGACATGTTTGAAAGATATATGAAAGGAGATGTGTTAGATAGGTTATCAGCCCGTGGAAGTTTTATGATTTGGTAGCACTCGATACCACAGTCCATGGCCCCAGAAAAAGAGTGTTGATTAACTGTAGAGAAGCAATATGAAATGAGGGAAAACTGACCTTTGTGGACCTCCAATTATCAAGACATGATCTATGGACATACTTCTGAGTGCCTTTGCAGTGGCATGGAGCAATTAAATCTTCTCCTGAAACCAAATTCATTTTCATACTAAAAATAGTAAATCGAAGCTTCAGAAGAAGAAAAACAGAATATACATACATGTACTGACACTGTCTTAACCTACAAGTGAACGTAAGTGTAATGTTCTTGCTTTGTTAAAATAATATTAGTGGAACACAGTCTTAATTGAAATTGATGAAATTGCATTACATATTGAACAGAAAGAAATGTTAAAAACCTCCAGTGTCAAGGCATATACGACATTGTGGTTGGTCTGCATTCACCAGATGACTGGTTTCATCAACATTAAGATTGTGTAAATCATCATCACTACCAGAGCTCTCTCTCCCTATAGCTATAATCTCAGCAGAGGATGATGATCCCACTGACTGTGGCAGAAAATCCAATTGACTTAAAATGGGCGCCCGTTCCAGAATATCATCTGTATTTTCATCATTATTTGGTACCAGTTGCATGGTGTGAAGCCTCGCTCTTGAGTCAGACTTGCATAGTCATCGCCTGAGCTGTTGTTCAGGTTGACCATTTACATGGAAACCAACGAACCTGCATAATTCGGGAAAGAAAAGCAATCACGTTGACATGAAATCATATGCATAGAAAATCAAGCGTACACATTTAACCACAGGATTGTATTTCGCTCTGTTCTCATAACTTCCATATCTCCATGCTAAAGCACAATCCTAGACGAATCAATGCCAATTTTTTTATATTTCAAATTTAGGGGGAAGTTACCTTATATGCAACCTTAATTTTTTATTTCAACAGTGAATAAAATACATCATTGGTTTCAAATAAAAGTTCAACACTGCAAACCCTATACCATGAATGTTAATACTTCAGTCAGTTCTCAAACAAGTGCTTGAGATTCCTTGGGGGTGCCATGGCCACAACTATTGATTATAATAGCCAGGCATGGAAGTGAACTCCTGGCACCTAGCCTATCAATGGGAAATAGGTTCGGTTTGGTTAGTACTTCCTGCTCTCGTGTTGAAGTTTGACGGTTCATTAATTCTTCAGAGCAGTGATAAAGCTTGGGAGACAAGGTGGCTATGAAATGTCTCGCCAGCTGCCACAACCACTATATATTCTTCTTTCATGCAATTATGAACTACATCGAACTTTCTGACTTCCAACGTAAATTATTCTTTTAGAGCAGATGAAACCAACTACCAAGCTTCCTGACAGCCAATCATATCCATCAATGCAGAACATGCTCCAAAATTTTATTCTCAAGTCAGGAGAGGTTCATAGATCCTAAAATTGACATAATGAAATGAGAAGTAGGTCCTTGTATAAATGTTAATGAAGGACCTCAAAAGCAACTACGCTGCATTGAATGAGCTTAAGGGAGGTGGAATAGTTTGATGTGCCCGTTAATCTACAAATATTGTTCGTTAACAAGACTTGAAAGAATAGGCTGAATTAATCAACATCCTCGTTCCTTGAGATCATAGAATACTATAAATTTAACGAGAGAGAGAGAGAGAGATGCAATGGATCTACGTGCTCTGACCTATACTGAGCTTCCAAATGCTGCTACCTAGCATCCAGTTTAGCATAGTTCGCCAGCCAGTTTTCACAACCACATTCCAGTAGCCTCAAATTTTAGTGCGCTAGCTGAGAATAATATATTTATTCCAGTCCTCCATATCTTTTTTTCTCACAACTTCCTTCTTCTGATAGTCCTCTATACCCGAATGCGAGAAATTTGCGGCTACTGTTTGCCTTGAGAGGTAACAAAACTGTACATACTCGCGTGTTCATGTGACAACATAATCTTAGCAATTCAAGCTTTTGACAAAAGCATTCTCTGTATTTAGGATTCTCAGTTATGATGAAAATGATTCAGTTTCAGACTAAAATCATAACCATCCCGTCGTTTATGTTCGTCTAGTAGCATCCATTAAAAAGAATCTAATTGTTTGTGCAAAGAAACGTGCTGAAATGAACTTATAATTAAAGATCAATGCAAAGTGAGCGCACAAAAGCAGCAAAATATATGAAACAACCATATCTAAAAATCAATATTTTCCAGTGAATACATATTCCCTTTCTTAGATCGCCAGTAACTTTTGGCCTTCAAAGGAAAAAGGAACAAGGAAAAAAAAAAAAAAAAGCCTACAACGATTAAGAACAGAATAAATTTTCGGATAAAATGGATGAATTGAAACCAGGGAGAAGATAGATAGATCAAGGAATCAAAGTCAAACCGGCGGAAGCGCAGAACAAGAGCAGACGAGAACGCGTAGTTTAGGAATCCATGAAGAATCTCCGGAGGATCCGATGTCTGCAGGAATCAGAGGAGGGATTGAAAATTAGATGAGGAAGAAGAAGATGAAATTTCCAAATTGATTGAATTGAATGGATGATTGAAAGGATCAGAGCGGTCACGGGACGGACCAAATGTGTAGATCCACGTAATAGCGCGGATTCGGAAGCAGGGAATGAGAGGCAGGTGTACCATTTATATTTTATATTTATATTTTATTTTATTTTATTTTTAGAATTTTTTTTCCCCAAAAATGGAATCTCTCATACTTCTCAAAATTGAAAAAATAATATTATTAGAATTTGTCATATTGGATATATATATCTCAAAAATAAACCTAAAATGTAATCTAATTAATTAATTAATTGATTGATATTAGTCATTATTAATTATATATTATCAACTATTAAATATCAATACATTATTTAGATTTAATAAACTTTATTTCATATATTTATAACTAATATTCTATACTATCATAACTATTTAATTAATTTGTATTTATTTGTCAATTAAATTACTTAATCGTTATTATAGGGTGTTTGTGGGTCGAGTTGAGCCATTTTTTAGACCCAATTCGATTATTCGAGTTGTAAATTTGTCAATCCAAATAATTTGTTGATATAAATTCTTTAAATTATTTATTAAAATTTTTATTTTTAAAAGTAAAATTTCTATTTATTTATTTTCAAACCATTAAAAATTATTTTTAAAAATTATTGGAGAATAAATGATTATAAAATAATTATGAAATTAACTAAAACTATATATATGCATGTATATATAATTATAAAATATATATTTTAAATTAATATTCCATTCGATTGTTCTGATTTTAGAGAAACTTACGAATTAAATAAATGCATAAAATTTTTATTTATTTTAAACTCGACCAAACTTAAATAACCTTATAATTAGACTAAAAAAAACAACATGGAATTGTTTTTTTATTGTTAATGTTACTTTTAAAATTAACGTGTAAAAGTATAAATATTTTTTAATTTAACTTGATTAGCTAATTAATTAATACAGCAATACCATTTAATTTTTTTTTATTACATCCATTTATGCTCTAACATTTAATTAACTCATTATAATTCTCAACGACAAAATTGGTAAAACACATCCCGATTATATTTAAAGTGTATATATAGTTCAAAATTAATTAAAATTAGTAAAAGATTATTAATTCTATTTTAATATTTTATATTTTTATTATTTACTTTTTGTTTTTATTTACAGTCGGGTGAGGCAAACACGTACATATTGGTTGTAGGTTCGAATCCTACTGGGGAGATTTGATTCATTTCGAATTAGAATTCGGAATGAAAGGGTTCGCTTTGACCGTTAAGAGTAGACAATCCGTTTGTCTTTGTTTCTATTGCATTATATCTCATTGTATCAGATTCTGTTATGCGATATTTGAGAATCACCGTCAATACCTCAAAAAATAAAGAAATAGTTAATATATTCAAGATAATTACGTATTTACAAAATACCAGCTCAATTCATACGGGATATAGACAATTCTAATAAGATTTAATTCTTGAACAAAAATCCATTTATTTATTTATTTCATCACCGGAAGAGGAGGAGATACACATTACACCACGATTTATAAGAGAGATTTAAAGACCTCGTATATTCAAACAAATAATTTACCAGAAACTTGCTTTGTCAGGTTTTCCTTTTATGTGAATTCGTAAGGTAGGCTGAGACCTAACTATACGATCGAAGTTTAAACCCGTAAACCATAGGCCGAGACCGCCTTTATTCTACTAGCATCCTTTTTGTATTAAATATTTTATTGTTTTTAAAATCCGAATTTTCGGCTGCGAAAATTGAAAAAAAAAAAAAAAAAAAAAAAANCGGCTGCGAAAATTAAAAAAAAAAAAAAAAAAAAAAAAAGAAACCCAATGAATAGATTTCCTTGTTTTGTTACCCCTAAAGCCCGAACGGAGCAAGGTTCCAGTTAAAACGGTATCAATTGGAGCGCCAGGCCCTGAGAGAGATCTGCAATCGCTGTTCTCGTTGCGTGCCATTGTCAACAGGGCAACTGTTGTCTCTCGCTAATGGCGACCATGGATGGAGTGGTGCAGAATCAGCCTCAGCAGCAACAGCCTCTCCTGGCGCCGCAGGTGGTTGTAGCAGAAAGGTTAAACCAGGCGGTACAGCAACAGTTGAACCTGGAGGCTGTGAAGACTCGAGCTACTACTCTATTTAAAGCCATCTCTCGGATCCTTGAAGATTTTGATGTCTACGGTCGCACCAATACGACACCTAAATGGTCCACTTTCATCTTTCGCATCGTTTTTTCTTGTGATATTTTCCAAATATGCTTGAACTTTTGAGTTCCTGATCGGCTTTCGATTGATATAAAACTGAAGTTATGTTTTTTAAACGTTGAGAATTGTTGTGTTATTTCTGCCGGGGAGTAAAAGCCAATCTGATGTGGGGAGGGGAAGGACTCGAGCATGTAGTTTCTTTTATTTCGCTTCATCTACACTTCCTAATAGCTCGTTGATGTTAGAAAGTAAATCATTTTTCCTATCTTCTGGACTTACATGTACTAATTATTTTTCTAAACATCAAAGCATCGTAATCTCTCTCTCTCTCTCTATATATATATATATTCAATTTTCTCCAAATCTGGCTAAATGTGTAGTTGATTTCTACACCAGGCAAGACATATTGGGGCAATATTCTATGGTGAATCTCGAGCTTTTCAACATCGTTGACGAAATTAAGAAAGTTTCCAAGGCTTTTGTTGTACATCCTAAGAATGTTAATGCAGAGAATTCTACAAGTATGCACCTACATCCCTTCCAAGTATTTGATAGCATGGAGTAAAAGGAAATATGACAATTTCTGTTTTGTGTGCTTGAAATTACTTCTTAAAGACATCGAGATAATGTTTGCTTGTTTATTTTGAACTTCTGCCTTGAGAGAATGCATTTAGTTCTTTTTTCTTTTTTTTTGTGAATAATTTCGTATATTACATATAGTTTTGTTTTGTTTTCATTTTGTTTTTATTTTCTTATAAGAAACGATTTCATTGACTGTATGAGATTACTAAAGAGGGGAAAAACCCCAATCCAAGAGAGTTACATAAAGTCTCTCCAAATGAATAAAAGAAAAAAAAAAGTAGTGATGGAAAAAGAGGGAGCACTTATACCAAGTAGTAGCCAAATAAACCATAGTATCAAAGTTCATATAAAACAATCCAATCAAAAGGAAGTTCCTCATCTTTTAGGACTTCTTTGCGAAGAACTTCAAAAGAATGCCCTGACAAAGTTCACCTAAAGGAGCTTCTCTTCTATTTTAAAAGAATATCCACAAATAGCCAATTCGAGCCTAGCTTAGTGGAGAAAATACCAATTACCATACCAGAGGTTGATGGTTTGATCCCCCATCCCACGATCGTTGAACTCAAAAAGGATGTTTGATAAGAGTAATAGAGAGGCTAAGAGTAAGACCATTAGGGGGAGTCGTAGACTATCCAGATGTTGAAAGAGAAAGTTTGTGCATATTCACATGAAAAAAAAAAAAACGTGGCTCTGAAATTTGGAGTTATTCTTGCAAATAGGGCACTAACGAGGAGATATACTTATATAAGATATTCTACATGGAAGTTTAGCATGTGTGTACCACCTTGTGGCTAATCTCTTAGAGTAAGAATTTCACCTTCTTAAAGTAGTGGTCTTTCCAAATGGTATAATATAAGTGGGGGATATGAGAGATCAGCAAGAGAGGGTTTGCAGTGAAAGTAACATTTGGTTACAGCTTTGAAGATTCTTGTCCAAGACTTGGATAGCTGAGATGAGGACAGGTGGTGCAAAGAATGTACCATTCCTTAGCTTCATTCAACATCCTTTTAAGTTCATTATTTGCCTAAAATTCTAACCTTTTGATTCAGTCCTCCTCATATCTCTTTTTTGATAAGGTCATTCACATATCTTTAACAACAATATTCTTTTTCAAAGAAATATCATATAGTAAAAAGGAAGTTACGTGCCAATATGTCGTCCATTAGCAAAACATCACTCCAGAATCAAGTATTAGCCACATCTTCAGTCTTGGAAGTTATCCGAGCATGAATCAAATTATGGTGCTTTAAGATGGCTTTCCATGGTCCCTTGGCAAAGGATAAATATAGAAGTTCCATAAGATTTTTTGTTCTCAAGAGTAGAGCAGTATTTGGCATCAACGACCTTCCTCTATTATGCCAATTTTCTCCTTGATATCACCAAATCCATTTGCCAGTAAAGCCTCGCTCTTGCTCTTGCTCATAAGGCTATGTAATCCTCTCGTCCTCCATGGGAATAATATTTTCTCATTTTATAAGATGTATACCCATTTTATCACAATTTCCTTTTCAAAGATTAAAAAAAAAAAATGCTCTATAAGGATTGAATCACCTCGAAAGGCATGACGTATTGACAACAGGAGATTTAATAGTGTGGCATAGAGTGAGTCTCCCTCCCTTATGATCCCAAAAGGAGCAAGAGTGGTGCTCGCCATTGAGAGGAAGGCCAAGGTAGAGTTTTGACTGATTCGATAGACCCTTGTTTGCTAGGCATTCCACATTTTGATTTTCCATATGTAGACCCAAAATTTCGGATTTTTGGTGATTCACATTGTGCGTGGATGCTTCCTCAAAAAGACTAACACTGTTAAAAAAAATTAGATAAAGCATGCTCATCCTTTATGGAGAAAATGATGGCATCATTGTCTGACTGTAGATGATGTATATAATTACAGTTCTTACCTAGGTCGAAACCTTTACTCAAATTCCTATTTGTTGGATGTGTCATAATTCTACTGAAGCAATGAACAGTAATAATGAAAAGGAAAGACGAGGGAAGGTCACCTTGATGTAGGCATCTAGAATCAAGAGTCTTGCCTTTAGTCTAACTGTTAATGATGATGGAGAAGTTTGTTGATGAGATGCACCCTCTAATCCACTTTCTCCATCTTTGCTTGAAGCCTTTAGCCACAAGTATTTTATCTAGGAAACTCTAATCAACTCTGTTAACAGGCTCACTCAATTTCTAGTTTCATGGAAATTCCCTTCTTTTTATTCATTCATCGATGAGCTCGTTTGCTATAAGGAAGACATTGAGCATTTGCCTACCTGCAACACATGCAAATTGAAATTCTGTGATGGTGTGGAGAATACATTTTTTAGCCTTCCTGATAATATCAAACGCCAATATATATATATATATATATATATATAGAAGAACAAATTACATAAGAATAATTCGATCAATCGAGAAGGCAATTCAATCAAGAAGCGACCCATCAAGCCACTGACTAGAAGAAAATCTCTAACGAATAATATCCTTGCAATAATCTTGTACATACATGATATGAGAATGATGAGCCAAAAATCTTCAACGGACTTTGCATCTACATTCTTTGGGATGAGACAAATATAAGTTTCATTGAGATTAGTAACGATGATACCTTTCTTGAGAAAATCTTGGAACACCCTTATGATATCAGACTTAATCATGTTTCAGATCTTTTTTAGAACTTGGCTGCAAAACCATCCATTCCAGGAGATATGTTTAATCCCAAATCCTTAACAGCTTGCCAAATTTCCTCTTTTGTGGAAGCCTTTTCAGGTTCAGAATTGTGCTGTAGAGTAATTGGATCCCAATTCAAAGGGTGGGGAAGAAATCTGCAGCCTTGTTTCTTGGTATAACTTATCAAAGCTGAATAAATCTGTTCTCAATATCTTTCTCTGATAGCAAGCTCTTACCATCTTTAGGAAGAATCTCAAGAATGGCGTTTTTCCTTCTCTTGGCAGCCACACTTCTGTGGAAAAGACTGCTGTTTTTATCCCTTTGTTGAACCATTTTGATTTGCATCTTTTTCTCCGAAGAGACTGGTATTTTGGCTGCCAGTGAAAGAAGCGGGATTTAATAGATCTTCTTTGGGAGCTTTGGACTGTTCATAAGTTGACGTAGGCAAAGGTTTCCTTGTTCTAAGATGTGATGATGAATTTAAGCCCTTTTAATATCTGTATGCAACGGTGGCCTGACCAGCCCGTCAATCGAGTATTGATCCTCCAATTTTCAACCATTGGGGGAAGCTTTCATGGAGCATCCACATGTTCTAATTATATTTGTTTAATAGATCTTCTTTCTGTTAACGTGCTTTCATTAAATGTTATCTTATTTTTATTTTAGAAATATACCCAAAATTAAAGCCTGTACTCTCTGGAAGTACTACTTATTTCTATATATGATCACCACCATCATCCTTTGTTTTTTTTCTCTTTTCTTAAAACCTGCCAGGCGCATATTTTAAGATTTTTTTTTCCCTATTTATAAAACATAAAACCATTTTTAAAATCAAAGAAAATATTTATATATAGTAGACTGTGTGTGTATATAAATAGGCCACAAGTGATTTTTTCAATAATTGATTTTTGACTTTATCCTACGTGGTTGTGACGATATAGTTTGTTGGCTAGTTATTTGAGGCCACCTAGTGTCTTATTTGTGGCTATTAGTCACTAGACACTGCACATTAGGCGCTGTGCAGATGATGACAAGACGATCTTTAACCATTGGAAAAGGCTTGAGTGTAATATGTTCTTGTTCATACATTGAAAATGTCAATTAAAGTTCAACATATTATTATTTCTTACAAGTTAAGTCATTGAAAGAAAAAAAAGTTCTTATGCAACACAAGATGATCTTTAATTGTTAGCTTCTTAAACACACAGATTGGGGTTCAAATGAAAAGATTCAGTTGGGTGCAAGTGTGTCTCATAACTTAGGCTCGGTCTCTAGAAGTGCATTATAGGGCTGTCTGGCCATGTTAGCTCGGTGTGCTTGCAATCTTGTCCAAGTGAAGGATTTTATAGCTTTATAAGAAGATTTGGTGACAAGCTATCCACCTCTACTCATGTAAATAAGCGAGGTAGACTAATGGCTGATACTCTTGCCTTGGGTTGACAAAGTTTTGTATGATCTTCAGGATTGAATGTGCTCCCTGGCCCTCAATTAGAGGCCTCCTGCCAGGGATTTAATTTGATAACTATTTTATATTTCATGTGTGTTTGAATAATATCAATTGAGGGTGCTTCTATATACTGTTTTTCCTTTTGGTTGCGGCTATGGCTTGTCTTCCAACCTGATTCTATATCTGTTTTTTATCTGCAATTGCCATGTTTATTTCTCACCAGAGCAGGGAGAAGAAGCATAAGCACTCACAATTCTCATTATCTCGAAGCTTAATTTTATTAGTACAGTAAAATGAATTACTAAGGAACAGTACTTAACTGTGATGTTAGCCCTACTATTTGGGTGTCTGGTATGTCACATAACTGTAATTGCTGGAATATCTTGGAAGTTGGTGTTTCTTCACTATTGTCTGCTTATTTTACATCTTTTTCCTGGCATGGTAGACATAAATTAGTATTGCAGATGATCCCTCAACTAGTATTTCAAGAGAAGGAAGATGAGACAATAATTCATTTGTGAAATTTTGATTTCCACTAATTTATTTCTTCTGTTTTGTGAGCCCAGTACTACCAGTTATGTTGTCCTCAAAACTATTGCCTGAGATGGAGGTAGAGGATAATTCAAAACGTGACCAGTTGTTACTTGGGATGCAAAATATGCCAATATCTACACAGATTGAGAAGTTAAAGGTACTAAAAGTTCGTTAAATAACTGTAGGTTGTACAACTCATTGAGTTCTAAAGAAAGTCCTCCGGCATTTAGGTTTACCTTTCTTACAGACTAGAATTGAAATGATTGGAGCAGCCTGTGAAAGTGCTGAAAAAATATTAGCTGAGACTCGGAAAGCATATTGTTTCGGAATGCGTCAAGGGCCAGCAATAGCTCCAACTTTAGATAAGGCTCAAGCTGCAAAAATTCAGGAGCAAGAGAATTTACTCCGAGCTGCTGTTAACTTTGGGGAAGGTACTTCTTTACTTTTATAGTCATTGATTGATATCTTAATTTTAATCAATTGTAGGTCATATATTGTTTAGTACTGTATCATGCCTCGTAAGTCACTAGTGATTGAGCTATTTACCAAAAAATAATATTTATATTTAAATTTCTTGCCAAATTGTCACATATCTATGAAAAGTACAGATTTTTATATTTATTTCTTAATTCATGATATACTTCATCAACTTGTGGTGCATAATTGAATACGGGCATTCTGATTTTTGTAGCAACCATTTCCTCTCTTATCATTTCTGTATGAATTGAAACGCAATCATAACTTGTCTTGTCGGCAGAGTTGATTTAAGTGGCAAATCTGTTTGAGATTTTGTGAAAAAAATTGCTGTGAGAGGAAGGACAAGTAGAATGTTGTTGAATGTGAGTGATGCCGCTCCTTAGAGATGGTCATTGAATTATGGAGCATGCATATATGGCGATAGACACTTTGCTCCTAAGCTCAATCACACACCTTAGGGAAACCCGGTTGAGTTGTAGCCCCAAAACGATTGGTTTTCATACTTCCCAAACACTCTTAAATCCCCCAACTATGTCACAAGCCCACGCTACCATGCTTTGATATGGCAAGTTGGTTTAATTCTGGCAAAACAAAGGGTATGAGGTGTTAAAAAGAGTGTAATTGGTAGCCAACCCGTGGTCTTTTCTCATAAGGATGTCTTTGTTTGATGGATCTTATCCCATTAGAGTTTCTGTTTTCTTGTCTCTCTCAAAGATCATGATTTTGAAAAAGGTTGTTTTTTTTTTTTAATCTGAAGGGTTATTCATGTGCGTGTTCACACACACACTTCGGATCGACTCTTTAGAAAGTGGCCTTCATTGGTTGGCTTGCATCTGTTGCAAGTCTAAATTTGCTGTTTTTTCTTCTCTATTTTCAGAGAATTACAGGTTCTTTTATAGGGAAAACTGACGTAATCTAAATTGATAGATAATCTAAATTCCCTCGATACTAGTTAACTAAATTTCTCTAGATACTAGGTAACTAAATTTAAATAAATAATCTCTTGATACTAGGTAACTAAATTTAAATAATAATCCTTGAATACTAGGTAACTAAATGTAAATAAATCATAAATTAGGGAGGTCAATTACTCCCCTTCAAGCTGAGTAATAGAACTTATAAATTGCACATATCTCCTAATTTATAAATTGCACATATCTCCTAATTTATAAATTGCACATATCTTCAAGCTAGGTCAATCATTCCTTCTCAGCTTGGATACTAACTTATAAATTGCACATATCTCCTAATTTAAGGCTAATCCTTCGACACCCCCTCAAAGTGATTGAATATATCTATTAGTCAACTTGGACCAGATAGGTTTATGTGCAATATTGATCGCACGACATCGACGATACGACTTCAACGATAAGGCACGACGTGAATGGTAGCTATGAAGGCACTGAATAAATTTGGTTTAGGTGGATGCTGATTAGCTATGAAGGCTTCAAATAAATTTGTTAATGATAGCTATGAAAGCTTTGAATAAATTTGCCATTGATAGTTGAAGGCTCCAAATAAATATGTCAATGGTAGTTATGAAGGCTCTGAATAAATATGTCAATGGTATCTATGAAGGCTCCGAATAAATTTGTCAATGGTAGCTATGAAGACTTTGAATAAATTTGTCAATGGTAGCTATGAAGACTCCGAATAAATTTGTCAATGGTAGCTATGAAGACTCCGAATAAATTTGTCAATGGTAGCTATGAAGACTCCGAATAAATTTGTCAACGGTAACTATGAAGGCTCCGAATAAATTTGTCAACGGTAGCTATGAAGGCTTCGAATAAATTTGTCAATGGTAGCTACGAAGGCTCCGAATAAATTTTTCAAGCTAGCTATGAAGGCTTCGAATAAATTTGTTCACATTTGCTATGGGGATTTCGAATAAATTTGTCCACAGTAGTTATGAAGGCCTTCAATAAATTTATTTTGTCAGCAAATCCGTCCGCTGAAGCCATGAGAGCACATAACTCGTGCATATTTTCCACTTGGAGCACTTCCACGGGGTTTGCTCACCTCTCTCGTGCTTACTCCGCTTGGAGTGTATAGTTCAATTGGTAACACTATGAAAGTAGAGCTGATACTGGACTCATAATCTATGAAGTAGGTTTTCTGTAGTGGCCTTTCTTAAGGTACCGTCCGATTCTTCTATTCGAGAATTGGAGTCTAGACTTGATGGATTTGGAGATCTTAGTTTTGAGGCCTCCTTTTCTTCCTCCGACATCTTTGGTTCTCTCCCTTATTGAATGCTTCAAGTCTAAATCTCAAAATTTGATGTTTTGTGATGATGATTGGAAGAACGATTTGAGATTTTTCTGACATGATGGTGAATCTTAATCTGGGGAGAAATTTAGCCGACAAAAATGAATCAGCAGGGTAGTAACCGGTTACCTTTTTTGCACAATCTGAATAGAAATTGGTTATAGGATGACAACTATGAAGGCTCCGAATGAAACTTGATGGCAGCTTTGAAGGCTCTGAATGAAGTTTCAATGATGGATGATCGGCAGCAATGAAGGCTTCACCAATAAAGTTAGCATTTTGGTTCTAATCAGATTTTCCAGAATAGAAAGGCTCTGATACCATGTTGCAAGCCTAAATTAGTTGGTTGTTTTTCTTCTTTATTTTCAAAGAATTACATGTCCCTTAAAAGGACTGACTAAGTTTAAATTGATAGATCATCTAAATTTCTAATCTGAATCCGTAGATACTAGGAAATCTAAATAAATTCCTAGATAGGATAAATCTAAATAATAATCCCTGAGTACTAGGTAACTAAATTTAAGCAATAATTCCTACGTACTTAGTAACTAAAATCTAAATAAAATCCAACTAAATAAATTGGAGAGGTCAACTGTAATGGGAATACACATATCTTTCGACAATATCCTCTCTCAAAAGGTAGAGGAAGACCTTGATCATATCCTTTAGAGATGCGACTTTGCGCACTTCGTGTGGAGTTATTTTTTGCAGGCATTCGACTTTCAGCTAACCCACCGTAGAGAACTGAAATGAGGTGATCGAAGAGTACATTCTCCATCCTCTTTTTAGGGAGAAGAGCTGTTTATAGTGGCTTGTCGGGGTGTGTGCTTTGTTGTTGGATCTTTGGAGAGAGATGAATGATAGAGTATTTAGAGGCTTGGAAAAGGATTCAAGTGATGTTTGATTCCTCGTTAGATTTCATGATTGGTTGCAAAGGTCTTTTGTCATTTTTTTCTCAATTGGAAGTTCGTTTTCTCAGTTAAAAAAAAATAAAATAATAAAAAAGTCCTTGTTATGCCAATAATTTGTAACTTTATTTCTCAGTTCGCTTGCATCTCTTGTTTATGCAGGATTAAGATTACCTATTGATCAACGGCAGATTACTCCAACACTTCCGATGCATTTGGTAGATGTGCTGAATGTAGGTGATGGAGTGCAGAGTTTTAATGAAACATCTGGTACCATTCTTTTGTTTTTTTTTTTTCTTTTTTCGCATGAGTGGTTTATATATTAATTTACTAAATTGTACTAGTTTTTTGTTGTTAATTTACTAAGTTAACAAAATGTCTATCAGGTATGTATGCAAAGAATACTCCTCTAACATCACATAATATTGGTGGTCCAGGATCATTGTTACAGGTGAGATGATTTCCTTTCCCCTTGAAGCGGTTCCTCAACTCTGATTTATTTGCACCCTCTTGAATTATAGAATGTGTTCTGAGTTCTCCTAAGGCAAACAACTTTTGGCTAACAGATTTCATTTCATTCGAGGTTCCCTAGTGTATGTGATTGAATTATCTTGTGTCAGTAGTTCCCTAATTTTATTAGGATTTCTTTGGTTGTGAGTTATATCTTTCCTTCATCCTTATGAGGTTAGGTAGTATATTCGGTACTGTCAGGAATTAAAAGTTTGAAAAGTTTCTTGCTGACTCTCTCCAATTCTCGCAGTTCTTGCTTTTACCTTCTCTTCCTACGAATATTTGCATCAGTATTGACTTTGAACTTGAGCACTTGGACTGCTTGGTTTGCATATGTAGATTTAGTAATAACTCTGTACTTTATATTCTGCATCATAACATCAATGGTCTCTTTATCTTACCATCTTGAATGTCGTACACACATGCATATAATCAGAAATTTCAATTTTTTGCAATTGCTGTTGATTGTCCTTTTCATTTGATATTTAAAGCAGCCTCCTGGATCACAACTTGTTGGAAGGTCAGCTGCATCGCCTTCTGGTGCCACATCCTTTGACAACACAACGCCGCCATTGCCATATGCTAACTCTCCAAGGTCAACTGCGAATGTTATGAACATACCTTCTCCTCAACAGCAGACCCAACAGCAGCAACAGCAACAGCAACAGCAACAGCAACAGCAGCAACTTCAGGTCCAGCAAAGGCAAAAATTGATGCAACTACCTCAGCATCAGCAACTCCTTGCTCAACAACAGATGAGGCAATCTCCTATGCAAGGAATAGGACAGGTAATATGCTTGCTGGTACTAAAAGTAAATAATAACACTTGGACAATTTAATCTGTTATAATTTTCTCAATGTTTACTAGACTCATTCTTCAAGACTTAGAATGTTTAGCATCGTTCATCTTTTCCCCTGGGACCTTCTTAGTTCATGAAATCATTATAATTAGATATTAACATTTATGGTACTATTTTAGTCAGAAACTATTCCTCGACTATAATAGGAAAAGGAAATGAAGTGATAGCAATTTAATGGTCATCTTACTGGGATATCAAAAGAACCATGGCCTATTCAATTATTTTATTAGCGTATTCTTATTGATTAACATCAGATTATTTATGCATGGCTGTTGCAAAATACTTGCCTCATCCACGAATACCATCTACTGATAACTTGAGAAAGACATATTTCTAATTGAAGTCTCATAAAAAAGATATTTTAAACTGTAGTCAGTTGTGTTCTAAATTGGGTGACCTCTCAACTCACAACACAAGGAGAGTTATCAATATAGAAGCATCTGAATATAATACTTGAAGGCACAATGCAGACTGTGCTCCTTGATTTCTCTGGGATCAGTTATATTTTATTTTATTTTGTAACCATCCCAGATTCATGGACAGCATCAGATGCAGTTTTCACAGCCATTGGCACACCAGCAATTTCAGGGAAGGCAGATGTCTTCTGGTCACATTCAACATGGCATTACTCAAAGCCAGCTTGGCCAAGGAAATCAAATGAATCGTCACTTGAGCCAGTTTTCTGGTGCTGCTAACAGTAGTTTGTTTAATGCTGCGCAGACTACCCCAAGTTCTCAAATGGTCAGATATTTCCATCCCTCATTTTGTTAATATCTTGTGTTCCCTTTTCTTTCTTTCTTAGATGTAGTTGGATTAATATTACCATCAATCGAGTAGATTGCATGAAGTAAATGTTATGTTATGCTATTCTAGGTTAATTTTCCACTTTTCCTCAAACGTATTGTTTCTAGTAGTGAAATCACTGCTACTATGTACGGTGAGACGACAACTTTGACCCTTGCATTGTAGCTGTGTTGTGTTGCTTTTACTGCTACTACGTAAATATTTACTGCTCGTACATGAATGAGCTTATCTTTTCCTTTCTGTTCACAAGTAGCTGTGTTGCTTTACCGAAATTAAAACTGCAGCTCCTAGAGTTTCATCTCGGTTGTTCTTTTAGGCAATTTTTGTCCCCATTCTAAACTTGTCAACGTGGACAATTATTGTTGATACTTCTCTCTGGTGACGCGATGCAGCCAATTTATCCTATTACCACTGATTTCGTTTTATTCAAATTACATTTTTCTAACATAAGACCCTATTTTTTTTTTTTTTTTTAATTATTATAACCAAAAGATGCATTTTTTCAGATAAGAGAAAATTTCCATTTCATTCCATGAGAAAGGAGAATGTATAGAAAGACTAGAGTTGCAAAATAAATCTCCAGCTGGTCATGAAAACTGTTGGGTAATTACAACCATGATTAGACTATAGAGACTCAAAATATAAATGATACACTAAATCTTCCCAAAATGAGAATCACAAAAGAAATAATAGTAATCATAATAAAGTTGCCTCATAGTTGTTGAAGCAACCATTTTCTTCCTCTGCAAATGAAATCTGAAAGTAATTTGATGATAACTGAGACATGAATTCCTCAAACTTTAGTTGTAATTTTAATTCACTCATTTTTGTGACATCTGTAGTCTGCAATGATTTCACTAGCAGTTAAATCCTGATCTAGAATTTGACTTCTTCTGACAAATCTTTTTGAGATTTAGAAATTATTTGGGGCAGCACCTTGATCTGTCCATGTCTTTGGGGCAGCCTTGGAGATGAAGGCCTATAGGTCAAATTTGCCACGAAACCACAGCTGGGACTTGTATAATACAACAACCTGTTTTAATTTTAACACACTAAAAATTGGGGTTTCGGGTTCCACTTAAAGTTCTAAACAACGTAAATTGACAGTTGACACCTCAATATGATACATTTTATCTTTATTTTCTTTTAATTGTCACTGAATTATTTATATCTTTTTTTTTTCCAGATTCCAAATATTTCAGCTACAATGTCATCGCAACCACTCATGCCACGTGTGCAGGTTTGTTCTAATTTGCTCGTTAAACTTCTAATGTTTTTCTTTTCCAAGTGCTGTTGAGGGGAAGATAGGAGGCTGGGATGTAGGGTGTATGCAAATCTAGACGTAGTCTGTTATTATAGGGTATATTAAGCTGGAAAATACAAATGGATGTTGTTTCTTCCTCTTTGTTGTTCGGTTTTAATTTTGTATGATCTTCTGTTTTTCTCAGTCTTTCATAAAAAAACATCCTAAGCTGCTTAGGGACGACAATTACGGGAAATTATCTTTGCAGTTGGTTTATTATCACTGTATATGTTGATTGAGTTCAATAAGGTCTTCCTCTTTTGTGCAAATACTTCATGATCATTCTTTCTGGTAACCTGAGTTTCTTCATAGCAGATCCAAGTGATCAAATAATGCAGCGTATGTACACTATTTGGCCAAATGTCCAAGATTATTCAAAAGAATTTTTACGTTTCATTCATTTTAGGCTGAGATTTTAGGATTATTTCTAATTCTATTTATAAGCGCAATAATTGATAGTATAAGTAACCAATACAGACAGATTTTCTTGCTGCCATATGCTACTGATCCAATATGTACCATGTCTCCTACAAACTAGAGCAGTTCTAACATCTTTTCAGAAGCGTATTCTTTATGGCACTATCACTATCATTTTTACTTCACTCTAGTCTGTACCCCTATCATCGTTCGAATATTTTTTCCCCTTCACTTGCATTTAATTTGTTGTTTCAGTATGGGAGCAATCCGCAGCGAAGCCATGCTCAAATTCTGAGTGATCAGAGTATGTAGTCCCTTGGCTCACTGATGTGTTGGTTAAGGCAGATGCATAATAATAATATGGTCTGTGTGTAACATTTCTACGATATTTCTCTCTAACAAGCAGCCGGTGTTTATCCCTCAGTGTTCAACATGGGAGGAGGCAGCGCGGGTGGTATGATGCCTATGCAACAGCAGCAGCAGCAGCAACAGCAGCTTGCCCCACAAGGTGCATTTGGTAACATGTCAACAAACGCACAGTCTCTCCAATCTGGTATGCTACCACTTCAGAACATGCAACAGACTCACCCTAATTTCGGCCAGCAAAGACAGCAAAACCAGCAATAATGACCACTGTGCGTTGGTAGCCCCTGCTGCATGTAATGCAATCCATTATCTATTTACTGTGTGGTAGTAGAGGAAGATTAATTTAGTACTGTTCTGTATATACTGCTGAATTTTGGATTGTGTTTACTAGGGTGGGTAAATTATCTGCCCCTACTTTGGCCCAATGACTTGTTATAAACTAGGCGTAGTTTGGAGTAGAATGGGGGAGTTGGAGTTATCAACTCTTCAAGTGGGACTACCACTTTTACTCTTTCATCTCTCTTTCCCTTCTCTTCTCTCTCTCTCTCTCTCTCTCTCTCTCTCTCTCTCTCTTCCATTTATTAATTTACACATGGTTATTTAGTAATTTTTTAATGAATTCTCATGATTATTAATAATTAAAGTATAGGGTAAGTTATTATAAATATTAAAGTTTGAATAGTACCTTTAAATTCATTAAAAAATATATTTATCCTTTTAGTAGGTTTATTTTAAAATATTTTTGAACATTTAAAATTATTAATATTAAACTTTAAAAAGTTATTTTAGTTGGTATATGAGTGTAAATCGTTTTTATCTGCATTTCATAAATTATCTACATCTTTGATTTTCTAGTGATTTAGATGTGAGAAGTTTTTTATATTTATGAAATGTATATCTTTTCTAAGTTAATATGACTTTAAATAAATTTGTTAGTGGGGTGTTTGAAATTTTTTATATTTATGAGATATAGATAATTTTCGTTCATATATTTGATAATAAATTTATTTATAGATTAGGGTTATTAAATGTATTTTTTTTAGACAACATTGATATTTTTATTAATTTAGCCTAATATATAAATACTTTTAACAAAGATATATTATATATATATATATTATTTTTATCCTATAATTTTATTTTTTAATAATATTATTTAAATTGAGATAAATTACAATATTAATCTCTCTATTTCACTTCCTCCACATGTCATTTACAATCTAAATTGAAATTACTTATAAAAATGGAAATATATCTTTTTAAAATTTTATTTAACAAATAATAGTTCAAAAAATATATATATAACTAAAAAGAATGTAATTTAGACTAACTCATATTACAATTTAAGTAATTAGTATTTTAAAATATCAGATACTAAAAGACGATTTTCAACTTGAAGAAAAAAGAAAACATAAAAAAAAAAAAAAAAAAATCCATTGAATAATTTGGTTTGAAATTTTGATTTACACTCTTATTTGTGCTGCGAGTAATAGGTCGGATTGGTTTGGAACCAAATTTGTGTACCCACCTTCCGTCCGTAGCAACGAGGGAGAACAAGAGCATCTTTTATTCATGATATGAAAGTAATTGAAGCGAATTGATATCTGCGTGGTTGCAATTGTTGAATCTCGACCTCAGAAGTGGAGAGATTTTCTTAGGTCTTCCAGGTTTGATTCTGAAGTTCGTTCGATCCCTTGCTTTCAGTTTCTTCCTTTTCTTTTGCCTTCAGTTTATGTATGTTTTTATGGGATGTGATTCGAACCATTTGCATATCCTTGTTGAATTTTCTCTCCTCCGAAGTCTACTGTTCTATCTCCTTCTCTTGTTGGCTTTCGAAGAACACGAAGTTCCAAGGACAGCCTAAGGTTAACTGACAATCCAAGATGACTGGAAAAATGATGACCTGATTTTTGATTTCCATGTTTATGTTTATGTGGTTGTTCGTGGTTAATTGAAATAAACGCTATCTTGGACTGTAGTTGTATTTTCCCTCGTATCAGCTCCAATTAGGGCAAAAACACCTAATCTGTAGCTTGTTGAAATTTTTTTATCCTCTTAAAGAAATCTCTTCTCCTTTTAATAGGAAATGTCTTCCTACGATAATGTTGTGGGTGGGAAGTTGAAGCTTAAAGGGAAAGCTCTTGATGTGAAAGTAGGTGGGGTGAAGAAGAAAAAGAAACTCAAAAAGCATCAAGATCAAGCATCTCGAGAACTGGAAAACGAGCATCCGGCAGGTTTGTTGTTCGATTATTACTGGAATTGTTTGGCTTGGATATGAGTGAATGCATGTTTGCGAATTATCCATATTATTCTCATGGCAGAGTGTGAAATTAGAACCGGTAGATTTCCACATTCAACATGAAAGAAAAATAACGAAACAAGAATTTTGCAGGGAGACCCTTATATGGAAAACGATTATGCCCTAGCTCTGTATAAAGAGTTGGGAAGAAAACTCTTACAATCTTAGACTTGGAGAATAACAAAACGCCCACTAAGTTATGAAAAACTAATCTGGCTGGCTCTTCAAAGTAGAGAGTTGTATATTTCCCCCATCATACAGACAAACTTTACTTTCGATATGGATACAAAACTTTTGAATTTAGATTTATAGTGTTATAAGCCAGAGAGTTGTTAAGCATCCGTGCATAAACAAGCAAGTGAATTAACTATTTTAGTTCAGTCCCTATTGTGGGTCCACCATGGTTTAGATCCCTGTTCTGTTGGTTGAATTGATATTGGTTGACTGCATGCCGTAACCTTAACTTCTTTGGGAGATCTTCATTTTAAACGGTTGATTGATTTTTTTTTTTTTTTTTTTTTTTTTTTGGGTTAAAGAACCATTGATTGCTGAAATGAGGAAGGAAGGGAACACGTTAACGTTTCTTTAAGTAGTGAGTTGGTTGAGATAGTTATCTTTATGAATATCTACGTAGGGTAGACATTTTCATGCTCATATACCTTTTCATGGTGGTAAGATTCAATAGATTCCTAGCTTCATGTTGTGCAACCATGTCGGATGATGATAAGAACGTGTCTAAATCTTTTTGTTGTGGGGTTTTTTTTTTGACCTGTTCGTTTTGAAGCACGCTGGATTAGTTTTCTACACAGTAATGAAATATAACTTCTGTTGAGGGTAGTGAAGGACAAGAAAGGCAAACTAATAAGATAGAAGCCTGAGTGAGGCACGAATCAAGATCAGGTTTACTTCCTAGAAAGTTACCCAAAAAAAAAAAAAATCTTCCTACTGCTCTAACCAAATGTCCTGGAGAGTGGCCAAAGCCCCAACAAACGGACATGTCCTTCTTGACCCATAAAATAGTGAAAAAGCGGTGCGCCACATCGAAAAAATCCTCACACCTAAGGTGGACCACAAAACACTTGCATGGCCAAAATACACTACCTAACTGGTTCTCGTGTCTGTTTTGTCTATGCTCTGGCTCCCTTTTAAGCATGATAGACAACCGAGAGCTCCAGTTTCGGTTCTCAGTTCATTTAAAATAATAGCAGCCTTATAGCTTTACTTTGGACAGCATCTTTGATATGTACCCATGAGCTATAAAATTCCGTTGTCATCACAGTCAATATTGAACTTGGATTGCTGTCAGCTTTTGAAATGCCCGACAATGGCCAGGAAAGCTTAACCAAACTTGGTCAGTAGATGTTAATGTTACACCATAGATTTGTTTCATATTTATTATAGTCCTTTGGAACTTTTCCTTTCCCAAGAATCATGCCAAGACTAGAGTTTTAGAATTTGCTTTTGATTGAAGAACTATCTTAATATGAATATAGATAATATAAGTGATGGGCATACTATTCCAACTATTGAATAGCCTTGCTTAAGAAGAAAGACATCTCAAGCCTCAAGTGGATCCTCAATCCTCATCGTCATTGATGAGTTTTTTTTCTTCTTTTCCAAATTTATTGTTCTCACCATTATGTTTGTGAATCTGCTCTCTTTGGGTGGCAAATGTAGGTGGGAGTGCTGCAAGTGGTGAAATGCCCGATGATGCGAACGAGGAGGATGAAATAGATGAGGCGAACAAGTCAACGGAGGATGGAAAGGTTCCTCATTACGATGACCATCTAACACCAGCGGAAAAACGTTACATCGAACAGAAGGAGAGAATTGATGTTCATAGACTGGCGAAGAAAGCAAATAAATCACATCGTGACCGGATCCAGGACTTCAATCAATATCTGGCGAACATGAGTGAGCATTATGACATTCCCAAAGTTGGTCCCGGCTGATCCATCCCTTCTTTATTTTGGATTTCGTGGTCACTCTGGATTGCTTGCTTGCTGATATGCCAGGCTAAATGGCGATGTTGAACCGAATTGTGTTATTGTTAACGAAGGAACAAACCCAAAACCAAACCCTTTTTATTTGTGGATGCTGTCTACTTGTTCGTATGAATATGGATATTGAGACTTCAGTTTGAAATCTGCATCTTTACTGCTTCCCTCTCAGGTTTTGTGGTCTTCCTATTTCGAATGAAAACATGTAAAACCCTCCCACCATTCATTACTTTCATTTATTAGTTTCGATTGAGTCTAGCGGTTCAAATAATTGAATATGTCGAAGCAATTGAAGTTACTATATTAGACACAAAATAATTCTATTAGATCTAATAAGTACCTTGTGTCAGAATTTAGAAATTCTATGGCTCGAATCTTTAGTATTCTCTTATTTATTATCTGTGTCTACTATTTAGGCAGAATACCGTCACCCATTCTTACTAAGAAATTGAAAGAAACGGAGGGGACTAAACAGGAACAAGAGGGATCCACCGAAGAAGATACTTCTCCTTCCCTTTTTTCGGAAGAAAAGNTAAGAAACTGAAAGAAACGGAGGGGACTAAACAGGAACAAGAGGGATCCACCGAAGAAGATACTTCTCCTTCCCTTTTTTCGGAAGAAAAGGAGGATCCGGACAAAATCGATGAAACGGAAGAGATCCGAGTGAATGGAAAGGAAAAAACAAAGGATGAATTTCACTTTAAAAGGACACGCTATCAAAAGATAAAAAGACCTGTTTATGAAACTTCTTACCCTCCGGATGGAAATAAAGAAAATTACAAAATGCTGTTAGATTTAGATACAGACGAAAAAGATATGTTCTGGTTTGAAAAACCTCTTGTGACTATTCTTTTCGACTATAAACGATGGAATCGTCCACTTCGATATATAAAAAATAACAGATTAGAAAATGCTCTTAGAACTGAAATGGCACAATATTTTTTTTATACATGCCAAAGTGACGGAAAAGACATAATAGTTTTTACATATCCACCAATATGGATGGGTGAGAAAAAGAAGAAGTTAAATGTGTAAATGGAGAATTTTGAATGCGTCATAAATTGCATATTTATAAAGCAATTGTTTAAAATTCAGTCACTGTTTTTTGGACCAAGAAATCATAAATCATAATCCACCACCAAGTATAGATTGGGCTAAGCCAACCCGGACTCCAATCGGAAGTCTGTAGAAGGTTATGCACCAATGCGGTGACGGGATTCAGAATTAACCCTTGGATACCATCGTCTTCCAAACCCGTCCAACGAATCCGGTTGAGCAGTAATCTCGGTAACTTCGTTTCTTCTTTTCTAGAATTTGATTCATCAACATCTGATTTTGGATCAGATTCCCGAGTAGAGGAGTTAATGTGGCTTATTTTGGATTTTTTCACTTCGACTTTCAATTCTTGCACTATCGAATAATCCCCCGAATCATGATTGTTCATAAATTGTTTCATGAGTACAACGCCGCACTTTGTTTCTTTAAAATTCTTTTATGATCACTGCCATTTGAAATTTGGAAGACTTATGATTTGCCCAGTCGTCAGAGATGGACTTGCCGTTCGTCTCCCCTGTGTATCCTTCGATCCAAAAGAGAGCTTTCAGTGGACACAACCGATTTTGCACGGTGCGTAGGGAAGAGCCTTGTAGAAGAATGTTTCAATGTTTGGCAACCGTTGTTAGCCAAACATCTCAGGTTTCGTTCGTCTTCTTCTCCTTATGTTCCCATTTCCTTTTAATTTTCTGCTCTTCTCTCCATCTTGTTCATGCTCTTGGCATCTTACCAGACATATAATTACGGGTTGGAAACCAAAAAGAACGATCTTCTGGTTGCCGTTCAAGAAACTCAACGTGGCCTCGTCGCATCATCTGATCAACGTTGTGCNNNNTTTTTTTTTTTTTTTTTTTTTTTTTTTTTTTTTTTTTTTTTTTTTTTTCTGTCTCTCTTTCTATTCTATACATAAATCATAATCCTTCAGCCTGATTCCATGTTGGTTCCAAGTAATGGTTGTAGGTCAATGTAGAGACGTATAACATGGGTCTCCCTATTGACTTGATGAAGTTGGATGGCACATGGCGGCTACAGTATACTTCTGCTCCTGATGTTCTTATTCTCCTGGAAGCTGCAGCCAGGCTTCCTTTCTTTCAGGTTCTAACATCTCGTACTTCACACTGCCTGAAAAAATGCATCTTTTTTTTAAAAAAGTAGGCCATATTTTTTGTTTTTGGATAAAGAATCAAAGTTTCAATGAGGAAGAATGAAAGAATATAATGCAAGGGCATCTAAAAAAACAAGTCCACGAAAAAGGTGGACATTCTCAATGAAGATATTTTAGTCAATCACAATGAGATCTAACTTATATTACAGAAAGATTTCGTCACCGATGCCGAAAGAGAAACATAAAACTTAGTGAGGGTCCAAACATCACAAAGATCTCTCTCCAAACCTCTGAAGGTTTTATTGTTTCTTTCCTCCCAATGACTCCATAAAATAGCTCAAACATAGCTCGTCAAAGAATCCTCCCTTTATTACAAAAAGGAGGGTGATCGAGGAATTCCTCGATCATCTCCCTATAATGTTTGTGTCTAGCAAATTAGACTCCAAATGCAACAAAAAATTAATTCCAAATGGTCTGTATGAAAATTCAGCTTCATAGGATATGATCTTGGTTTTTCTATGCAAATTCAAGTGCATGTTTGGAAGTGATTTTGAAATTGTCAAAACCCCTTTTATTATGTTCAAAATCATATCGAAACATACTTTCAATCATTCAATACCTATTTTAATTACATGAAACATGACCTAACAAAAGTGATTTTAACCATTTTAAACTTCCAAAGAGACCCTAAATCCACTTTCCCTGCCATAATCATTTAAGTCCTCTCTGAGGAGAGGTTTACCGACATCCAGCTTGGTGAGCCACTATATCTTGTTGATCTAGGGATTTGTGTTTAGTGCAATCTTGTTTACTTTCTTTTGCCTGAAATTTTGTGCTTCCAAGGTGTCAATGTTGGTATCGTTTTGTTATGGTTTTCGTTTTCCTATTGGTAGAAGAAAAATAACTATTTTCATACTTAAATTTTTACTATGTTTCTATTTTTGTCATATGGCTATACGTGACTCATGGCTGCACCGGCAGATTGGGCAAATCTTCCAGAAATTTGAATGTCGTGACAGTTCGAATGAAGGAATTGTTCGAAATGTGGTTCGCTGGAGTATCCCATCACTCTTAGAGGTATACCATAAACAAAGTATGGCAATCATGAATTGTAGTTATAAGCTAGACTGATGGTCTTTGGTGTCCGCTCATTTCCATTTGCTCTCATTTCAAGCCACTGTTATCAAACAAATCTAATAATATGCTGTCTTGAACTTCCTCCTATTCTCTTTGAGCTTTTTGGTTCCTGGCTCTAATTTAACTCCTCACCCCAATGAGGAAAATGGTGAGAATCTAGTTGGTTTTTGGTGGATACCTTGATATTTTATAGAGCAATGCTTTATTTTTGGCCTTTCAGGAACAGGAAGGAGCAACTCTGCTTGTTTCTGCCAAATTTTCGGTTGTTTCTTTGCGTAATATCTACCTCGAATTTGAGGAGGTCAGTTTCTGCATCTGGTGTTGCTTTGCTTTCCTTTTGGTTTGCATCTCCCTGTGAATATAGATATGCGAGAATTACTGGACTGCAAAGAAACATGTATTTCTTTGTACATTTATTTGTGCTTGCTTTCTTTCCTCAATTAGTTAGATAATTTCTTTGATGGTTTTCTGGAGTTCCAAGTAGTTTCATTTGCCCACGTTTCCAGTTCTCTGCCTTTTAGATCCAAATGATGTGCTAAATTGCCCTTAATCAGGTGCCTTGACCAAGAATTGTTCTTTTTTACAGCAGTAATAAGATTACTTGAAATGACATGAATAGCAAGAAAAATTAAGCCCTAAACTTTTCAACTGGTTATCTTGAGAAACATCGAAGGGAAGGTAGTTTGATACTTTTTTTGGGTCTTCAAACTCTAAGATCCTGGGCAAGGAAATTCCGACCACCTCGTAGAGCGATTTATCTGCATCTTTAAATTCTTTGAGATACCTGAGAAATTTAATATCGTCTTGGAGAGGTTGATTTATCTGTATCTGTAAATGCTTTGGAAACAGTTAAGTATTTAGTATTTTGTAGTAGTGAGATATGTGGATGTTATGTTGCAAGCTGTTTCTGGCAGATCAGTGTCCAAAATATAAAGATTAGCGAAGAGCTGCAGGCTTTAATTGCTCCAGCAATACTACCACGGTCATTCATAAGTCTTCAGGTAAACAACATTCAACTAAAACATTGTTGGTTGAAGCTTGATATATACATACATACATGTTTGGCTGAACACGGAATGACGATTCAAATGGTTAAATAAACGCTCAGATCCTGCAATTTCTTCGAGGCTTTCAAGCTCGGGTTCCTGTGAGGAATTCAGAGAGGTAAATCTATGCGTGTCATGGAATGGCAAGAATTGTTGTTATTAGATAATGATCCTAAGAATGGTTGGGTTGGGGGGTTGCAGGAGACGAACAGTGGGAGGACTGTATTACCTCTCATATTTGGATGGGAATATGCTGTTGGGTCGTGCGGTTGGTGGCGGCGGAGTTTTTGTGTTTACCAGAGCTCAACCTCTCCAGTGCTAAACCAGCCATCAAAGAAACACTCTAAAAAATTCCATTAGTTAGCCAATTATTGTTATGGATATGGATTAAGGATCATTGTTCTTTGATCTTGTACTCTACTGTTAATTTTTTGTTCTAGTTCAGTTAAGAATGATGCTTTGATACCATGTTAAGAATCAGAAACAGTATAATTGAAAGTCCAAAAAATATAGGTAGGATTGAAATTGAAACAAATGTCCCAGTGGTATCGGAACAAATGTCCAATTTTCATTAATGCTTACAACATCTGTATAACTATAATAAATAAAATACAAACAAACTATAAATTAAATCCTAAAAAAATAAAAATAGCATAAAATATTATGCTAATTAAATCTTGAAAATAAAAGATAAAATATATCATATTGTTGATTTTTTCATAAAAAAAAAAGAAAAAGATTACCATTGGTTTGATAAAAATTCACGATTAAATTAAAATGGACCAATAAAAATTTGAAGAACTGAAAATTAGATAATAATTAAAATGGAGCAATAAAAGTGTTAGGGTTATTTAATAAATTTAATAAAAAAAAGAAATTGAAATGTGGAATATGGAATATTATTATTGTATTTTGATTGGTTGACCAATTACAGAGCTCCAAACGCGAGCTCGTCGTGGATGACACGTGTTGCCGACGTGTCGTGGGACATCCACCCAAGTTACGTAGGATGCCACTTTTGTCTTGCTGCTTTCTCAAGTTTGTTTCTTATTTTAATCATTCCATAACTTTTAACCATGATTAAGTCCCCCGGGTTAATTTCCTTTTTTTAATTCTTAATTAAATTCACCCCAACCTAGTTAACAAAATTAATTAACTAATTAACTTTATTTTATTTACCATCTCTCTCTCTCTCTCTCTCTCCTAACCCTTGCGCTGCGCCTCCCTGCCTGCTCTGTGTTATGGGTTTCGGAAGCAGATACTCATTTTGTGCTGCGAAACTCCTCAAATCTTCCCTTCTCTCCCACTCTTCTCCTTCATCTCCTGCTTCTGCTCAGCTTCCGATTCACTTGGAACTCCTCGCCTTGCTTCCTCTAATCCTCCGCTCTATTCCTGGTAACGTTCCTCTGCTTCCGCTTTTACTCTCAAGAACTCCAATTTCCTTTCTCTCTCCATTCCTTGATGCTTCATCGACTTTTTCATTGCTCGACGTCTTGGAAGTTTCTTCTGCAATCCTTGTCTCTTTCGTTTTGACCTCCTTTTTTTTTTTTTTTTTTTTTTTTTTTTTTTTTTTTTTTTTTTTTTTTTTTTTTTTTTTTTTTTTTGTCCGATTCTTTTTGGTTCAATTTCTGAGGAATTTCTTGAATTCGAGAGTTTTGGTTATTGTGTAGGTGTTCGATTATTTACTCTCTTTATTTAGCTGCACTTTGCTTCCGCGTTGACTCTTACCAGTTCAATTAAGGTAAACTGTGTGCTATCCACTTAGCCACGATCTTTTTTTAAGGTCTGGCCTCTGCTCATTTATTGTTTCTTATTTCCTCTTTTGAAGGATAGGAAAAGAGTTATGTTCGATGATGTTGTTTATGGCAAAAAAATGAAAATAGAAAATTTTCAATTTTTTAACTTAAAAAAGCCAAAATTTTACATGGATTTTTTAAATAAATTTTGTTTGTGATTATTATTTATTATGTAATTATGTTTGTTGTTCCTAGAAGGGGAACAAGAAATGAGAAACTGTATATTTGGTTTCATGAAAATTTATGAACAGTTTATGAAAGACATGAAACTAGTAACCAATACTAAGAGACTGGAAACAAGAATCACAAAGCCCTTCATTTATTTGTTCCAAGTACTCGTTAATGTTGTGATTTTTCTTAGTCCAAACTGCAACTGTAAAAATTTGAATATAATCATATGTATATATATATATTTTGCAGAATTGGTTTTTGAGCTTTAGTGCATAATATATTCGTGGATGTGAGTGTGGTTGCGCTTAGGTCAATGAGATAATGTACTCTCTTTTTTCCTGTAACTTATCTTTATTCACAGAAAGTTTTGTCCCTCGTCAGGGGAAATTTTTTCGCCAGGCATTTGCTTAGAAAATTTAGAAGCTTAAGATTTCAAGTGCCAGTGATTTGTTAATTCCTAGCATGAACTAGTAAGCTGATGATATAAACTGTTTTATTTATCGTATATGAACACTGCTGATGAAGAAGTTATGCTAAAGAGGCCTGTCTTTTGGTTGAAGGATTTCATATCATTCTAATAGTAGGATGGCAACTGAGAGCTCTACCAGAATAGTGGACAGGATGGGTGATAGAAACTGGCCATCTACTAAAGATATAGCGGCCTTTGGATCTCCATTTAAAAACATTGCGTCAGAGGAGTTGGGATCAATCTTAGAGAGGCATAATTTTCATAGAAATTTATCGGATTCAATTCCCAATCGAAGTGGTAGTGCACCACCAAGTATGGAGGGTTCTTTTGCAGCCATCGGCAACTTGTTAACTCAGCAGGACACTAGTCTAGATACAAGCTTGTCTACTTTATGTGATGCTTTAGAAAATTCCGTGTCAGAAGAACAGCTACGCTCACATCCAGCTTATTTTGAATACTACTGGTCCAATGTTAACTTGAATCCAAGGCTTCCTCCTCCTCTTATATCAAGAGAGAATCGTAGATTAGTGCGGCACATTGGTGGATTAGGCAAAAATCGTAGGTTGAGCTCTGCAGATGACACTGCCAATGAATTTTTGCATGTTTCCCAAGGTTCCCTTTCTACTCATCCGGAGGAGACTTCAGAAGATAGACAGCCCGAGCAAGTTTCAGAAAACTTTATAGAGAAGCATGGTGCTGCTCTGCCTGCACAGAACAAATCTTTTGTTACAAGTCACCGCAAGAGCTTGGTCGATTTGATACAGGTACTGTGCACCATTTTTAGCTGAGACCTGATGTAGTAGGATTGGATGCTAATCTTGGATATCCATGGTTGACCATTAATCCTACTACAGCAAGACATTCTGAACTCTAAAACTTGTTTTTAAGACTGCAATAGATCTCCTTTCTTCCTTTTGTTTAATTGGCTTCAAACTAAATCTTCTTAAATTATCCTTATTCTGTTTTACCGTCTGGTACTCAAAAGTTTTCTTCTTCTTAATGTACTAATGTCATTTATATCACCTGCCTGGTGTATTAAAAAAAACTCGCTTATGTGTAATTCTGAACTTTCAACCTGTTCAGGTAGTTCCATTTGGATATTTATTATATTAGATTCCACACCAACCTTGTATTCCTTTAACTTGTCATTTTTACTTCGGGTGTGCAGGAAGACTTTCCTCGGACCCCATCTCCTGTGTATAATCAATCACTTTTAGGAAGTACTTCAACAACAGAACAAGCAGTTGAGAGTGAATTGGACATACTTGCCTCTGATGTTTCATCTATTAGCATTTCGAAAGTACTGGAGTCAAATTCATGCTCTCCTGATGTTTGCCTGGAGCCAAGCAATGTGATTACGGATCCAGTGGGGTTAATAGCCGATGATTCTCCTCTGAAGAAATCTCTAAATGCAGAGAAATCCTACAGAATGCATAGCCCACAACAAGAGGGATCAAGAGGAAAAAATGCTAGTCTGGAGAATGTTTCAGAAAAATCTGGCACAATTGGGCATGATATTCCCAAATTAGAGTCTAGAGCGAAAGCATCCAATGTTGAGAGTAATAGGAATAGACAGGATCATCAATCTTACGGGAGAAATCATCCACATATTTATCTGTCCAAACAACAAGGGTTTCCATGTCCAGCTCCAGATATTCAGTCCCAGATGGTTTCTCAAGGAATTAACCATCTAGAAGTTGGGCTTGAAAACCATTTACATGGACAGCATAATTTTTCAACTGCTGATGTGCGAACAGTATTTCATTCATCAGCACTCGCTCCTCCCTTGTATGCTACAGCAGCAGCATATGTTGCTCCAGGAAATTCATTTTATCATAATTATCAACCATCGGGTTTATTTAGTCCTCAGTTCAACGCAGGAGGATATGCTCTAGCTTCCACACTTTTTCCTCCATTCATGGCTGGGTATCCTACACATGGTTCAATTCCATTGCCAGAGTCTTCTGTTTCGAACTTCAGTGGTCGAACTACTGGTGTTTCAACAAGGGAAAGTATTCCACCTGTGGGTGACTTACAACACACGAGCAAGCTTTATGCCCAACCTGGATTTGTTTACCCACCTTTTTTGGATCCTATTCATATACAATATGGTCAACGTCCAATAGAAGATACTTATAGTGGTTCAGCTCATCATGGTCAATTGGATTCTAGAAGTTTTAGTCATATGCCGATTGGTTCTTTTGTTTCGCAACAAGATTCAAACGTTGCTGCTTATTTGGCTGATAATAAAATCCATTCACCAACAAATGGAAGTTTTAGCATCATGAGTCCCAGAAAAGGGATTACTGGTGGTAATTATGGAAATCCTTCTAACATGAGTGGAATCATGCAATTTCCAGCCCCATCTCTTGCAAGCCCTGCTTCACCCTCATCTCCAGTGGGTGGGGTGAATCATCTAGGTCGGCGGAATGAAATGTGGTTTCCTTCAGGTTTAGTTCGTAATGCAGGGGAATATTCTGGATGGCAGGGGCAGAGGGGCTCCAACAGCTTTGATGACTCCAAAAGGCACTCTTTTCTCGATGAACTGAAGTCGAGCAATGCACGGAAGTTTGAACTCTCTGATATCTCTGGGCGTATTGTTGAATTCAGGCAATGTTCTTGAGCATCTTTCTCCATAAGTTTGCAATCTGCAATAAGAATAATAATTTACTCTCTTTCATATGGATCATGATTTCCACAACTATTTTACTTCAGTGTTGATCAACATGGGAGTCGCTTTATTCAACAGAAGCTCGAGCACTGCAGTCCTGAAGATAAGGCATCTGTCTTCAAAGAAGTTCTTCCACATGCCTCTAAATTAATTACTGATGTTTTTGGAAATTATGTTATCCAAAAGGTATATTCTAATTCTATAATTTGCACTTGAGTGTGTTTCTGTGTTTGAATCCCTCATTCTATCCCAGACTTTGCATTCAATGATACATGTGCAACGACTAATTTTCACATACCTTATACAGTTCTTTGAACATGGAACTCATGAGCAGAGGAAGGAGCTTGCCGATCAACTTGCT